AACTATATGTATTGTGATTTATGAATTGATAGAGTAGCAATATTGTGAAAGAAATACACATGCAGGTGTGTGAGTGATGCTTAAAATGTATAAGAAGAGACATGTGTATTACATCCATAAATGTACCCAAGACTAAGGTAGGGGATTGCAGCCCTACTTTGTATAGGGTTAGAAAGTCCTGAAGATTTTAAGTATAGAGCTTACTTTGCCAGGAAGGACCTAGGAGAATGATCCATAAGTGTACCCTAATAGTAGGGGGTCGTGGTCCTACTCTGTGCAAGGCTAGAAAGTCCTGATAGTCCAAGTGTTGAGAATACTTCACTAATGGGGACTTAAGAGACCACCCATACTAATGTTCCCTAGACTGAGATAGAGGTTTGGTGAGCCCTATTTTGTGTAAGGTTAGAAGTCTTAGTTCAACTATATACCTTGCTCCGTTAGGGGGAACAAAGAGTGTATGAGCATAGTGGATTGATTGAGTATGATTTGATGTATATGCTTATTTATACTACTTTATTAAAATACATGCTACTTTATCTCTTATTTATGATTTTACTTAGTAACCGATAATTGGGGTTTATCCAAGTTACTAGGATATATGTCTCACTTCATCACCTTTGTATACAGGTGAAGAGAGCATGAGAAAGCCAGAAAAGAAAATGAGGAAAGAGTACCCACGACTAGTAGTGGTATTACCACTTTAGTGTAATGAATATATAAATATGTCATTAAATATTTGAGTTGCCAACTAGGATGCATAAGCATTTATGAATATGGATATATAATTTTGTTGTTGAAAACTTGCTTGTTTATGTGGTATTGCATCTCATTGAATGTATCACAGTGGTGAATATATGGGTAGGCCTAGATGTTATTCAAGAAAGTTTATGTTGTGTTGTATAACTTATTCCACTTTTATTGTACATAAATTTGTTATGTGAAATTATGTGATTGTGGGAAGCTTGACCAAATTGTGAGGCTTACCCCTATTTATATGAGTTAAGAGTATTTGTGGTTCCTAACTTTATGATGAGGCTTAGCCCCATATATGGAAGTTGGATGTTTGAAAGTGAAATAAGTATATGTGTGTATATTAATGTGTGCTTGTGCCTTATATAAGTTCACAATTATGTAATGTGGCATTGAGAGGTTAAAAGGAGTATTTGATGTGGTATGTATAATATAATGTGTTAATCATGTGTATTTGGTCCTATTGGATTTAGTTCAAGACCTAAAGTGGTCTAATGAGATAAGGAATAAGAATTGAACATTTAGGGTGCTATTTTTAAAAGGAAAAGTGACTTTTTACACCCCAAGTGTTTAATTTTTGGTCAAAATATTGGATCATATCTAAACTTATCTCATTAGATAGATAATGTCATAAGCTTTATATGAGTACTTGAATCACTCTAATTAGATGTCAGGTGTAAAAATGGCCCACAACGGAAATTCGTATCAGAAAGCTAACAGCAAAATCTAATATATACACTATGGCGCATGGTGTGTGAGCCATGGTGCATGACAAAAAACCAAAAGTATTGCTCTGTACTACATGTAGCAATGTATACAGTTTGAGCCATGGTGCATGGCCCTTTTTTTAGAAAATTAATTGTTGTTCTTTGAGTCATTAATTTATGTTTACGCTTTTGTAAGCCCTCTTATTTGAACATACTTTTTACAAAGTCGAGATCCCACACTTTAAAAATAAATCAAGGGCTATAACTCTGATGTTGTATTGCTATGGTATGTTTGGGATGGTAAAGTTCGGATGAATTAAGGGACTTTACATAAGTCATTTTGTATTTGAAAGTAGTGTTATAATCTAGGGTTAAAGGGTAAAAATGTTCTAAAAGTTTTTGAAAGAAATATAAGGTACCCTTACCTTTTAGTTGGAAAAATTTTGCCTTGGAATTTTTAAAAAGGGAGCAATTTTGTCCCACCATTAAATCTAGAGAATGTTAACCATTAAAATCAAAGTTTGACAAAATACAAGACATATGGCGCTAGCTAATTTGTCTCGAGTTCTCTCCTCCTTTATCTCATTAAACTGTTCCTCTTCCTTGTCTTCTTCTTTCTCTTTTTGCATTTACTAAGAGCCTATAATCAAAAATCTCCCTTCAAATCTCACTTCTTATGTCCTGGATTTGAATCAGATTGATAGGCTACTTCCCTTTTTAAATCATGCAATATTTAATTTGCTACCTAATCTATGTTCACTTGATAACCCACATCCCCTCATTATAGAAGAACACCATAGGTACATATAATAGCCATAGCAAGAATCATTAGATTTAATACCTTATAACTCATAGTTTGTCAAATAATGAATGAAATTAGTTTAAGGAGAAAGTATAGAACTAGAGGAGCTCATCTATGGACCCAAGGAGGTCTTGATGCTGATCTAAAGCATCCAAACAAGTGCTCTAACAAGACACAAGCCACCATAAGGCCATTTCAATGAGAAGTAGACCGAGCAACTAGCTTCTAAAATAGTGATGGTCGACCATGTCGAAGGAGACAAGGTAACAATGATAGGAGCGGATGATGTAGATAGGATAGAGGATGTCATCCTTATTATGGTGAGGAATAGCAACAACATCATGTCCTCGTGGAAAGTGAGAAAAACACAGGAGTAGAAGTAGCTAAGCTTGGAGAGAGAGGGGGGCCACCTCTTGATAGCAAACTTGACCATGGTCAGCTTCCTAACTATAGCCATATAGACTTGAGTAGGAGAGAGATGGTAGAGTAGAGAGAGAGAGGAAGAAGAGAGAGAATAAGAGTTTAGGAACTAAGGAAGAAGATTAGCTCAACAGATACATATGGAAATTTTTTGGGCAACACAAATATTTAACAGTTAATGTTGTTATGGGTTAATGGTAGGGGAAAATTGCTCCCTTTTTAAAAGTTTTAGCATAAAATTGCTCCAACTAAAAGGTAAAGGTACCTTATACTCCTTTTAAAAAGCTTTCTAAACATTTATGCCCCTTAACCCTATAATCTATATTAATTTTTTTATTATATATTGATTTGGATATATTCATGTATTCATTTGGAAATATTTTATATTAATTAGACATTATGAGGTTTGCCTATTCCTTTTGTATATATATTGTAAGTTTCTTAGATTAATTAAACCACAATATTTTCCCCCAATTTTTTCAGACTACTTATATATTTAAAAGATCAAATTGTAAAGATTCAATTAAAGTAAAATCAATTACTAAGACTATATTTAGTTGGAGAGGAGGGAAGGTAAGGAATTTTAAGAAAGGGGAGGGGAGGGATCCCCCAATTTTAGGGGGGTTTTGGAAAAGAGGGGAGGAGTGGGAAAATTTTCCTCCTTTTTGCCAAACAAGGGGAGGGGCCATCCCCTTGCCATGTTTAGACGAGATAAAGGAAGAGAAGGGACCCCTCCCCCTTGTTTGCCAAAGGAGGAGGGAAGGAAAAATTTTAAAGGGTGGGTTTCTTTCCTTTACTTTTTTTCTATTGTCTCTCCATTGCAAATCTGAACTGTTCAAATTAAATCTGTATTTACAAAAACTATTAAACCTAAATTTTCAAATCTCATATAATAGTTCATATCTGTATTGATTTCTCCTTTCCTCTCCTTTACAAAGAAGAAAATCCAAATCTAAATTTTAAGCACTCCCCTACCTTCCAACTAAACTAAAAGTTAATTTAAACTTGGAAAAATTGAAATAACATGTATATTAATTATTAATTTTTTTAATTCACATCATGAATATATATATATATATATATATACAATGGTCAAATATAATCCTTTTTAATAATTAGAATAAATTTGAAAAACTAGCACATTATTCTTAAAAATTTCATAAAAAATTGAAATACAAATGCCTAAAAAAAAAGAAATCAAAAAATAATAACCTTTTGTTGCAGCAACGCCACTCGAGAGTTTCTCCTCTTGTTCAGGAAGCTACATTAACTTTCTAGATTTTGTAAGGTTGGTCAATTTGTTGAATCATTTCTTTCTTTATTGCTTCTTATAAATGCTGTCAAGGGGAGCTAGAGACACCCGAATCAATCTTCTTATACTTCCCTTCCTTCCTTTATTTTGCTACGTACTTCAGGTCAGTAACTTTCTTTGGCTATGCTTAATCTTATTTCTTCTCTGTTGTTACATTGGGATTGTTGAGTTGTACGAAGGTAAGAGATCTTGGAATTCAATCATCCAACTTCTCTCTCCCTCTCTTCTTTCTTTTTCAATCCTCCACCTCATTGACATAAGCAAATATCTTCCCTTACAAAATCTCTTTTTGAAATGTGTTGATTGAAACTAGGGAGAAGTTTGAAGTGGGTGTCGGGCAATTAGGATTCAAATTCAAAGATAAATTCATCATTAAGTTTCTTGCTACTTCTTGCATAACCAAAGCCAATGTTTTGTTTTTCTTCTTTCCTCTAGCAGTAATGCATTAAAAAAAAACTCTTAACTTCATTGATGAAATCGATGCTTTAAAAGTCTTGTAGAACTCAATTGATGTAATGGGTTGCTTGGGGAAAGGATCTATATGCTATAGAGCATGTTTTAAGCATATAATTTTTGATGCATACCAAGTGTTTGTTATAATTCTTCAAAGAAAGACAGTTTTAAAGAAGTCAGTAGATTGTGGTGATAATTGTCCTTTTAAGTTAGATCTTAATTCATGAGGCCTTTAAATGTCACCTTAGAGCGTAAGAGTTATATAAGCTAGCTTTCAAGCATTGTTGTGATTATTAGCTGAGTCAAGTTAATCAAAATTATGCTGAGCATGCTAAAGAATGGTTAAGGGTATTAATTTAGGATAATTTGGATGTAAGGTCAGGCTTAGGTTGAATGATTTGCATTCTTAAGGTGTGCCTTGGTTCCTTATAGAAGTGTAATTTATTTTGCCCCCTATTCGAAGATATCATTGAAATGTATGGTTTTGAGGAAAACATTTTGTAATATAATAGAAGAATGGAAAATTGAAGTGAAAGTTGAGATATTGTTGAACAAGTTCTAAGAAACGATTGACCTACCAGTCATAGTATTTTTAGGATAGTTTCCTTTGAAGGAGAATCAGTGCTAGATTACACAAATACCTGTAAATGATTTTAAAATGGGATACAGTGATTCTTGAGTCTTAAATAGTGACACTATCTTGGAATAGCCCCTTAGCATAGGCTCAAAATGACAATTTTATGCTTCATAAAAGTTAATCTAATTATACAAAACAAGGATATTAACTAAAATAAATTTAAGTAGGTGTTATATGTATCACAAGCCTCGTTCTCCATACAGCTTGTTCCACTGCTTCAACTCACGCATTATCAATCCGTGAGCATCAAAACTTGCAGGAACCTGTGGTAAAATACAAGATTTAAATTCTTCTACATGTGTCCCATTGATAAATGATAAAGCTTTCTCAAGGGCAATGAAGAAAAGTTGTTCAAAAAATTCATGATCTCTGGTAGCAATCTCAAATTCACATAACAATTTAGGGAGATTAGGTTATGTGCTGAAATCTTAATTAATCTTCTTGTAAGTATTTTCCCACAATGGTGCATGAGAAAACAAAAACAAAAAATGTTCCAAAATCAATTGACTAACAACATGTTTTAGTTGAATCTTCAATTGATAAGATCAAATGGAATCATTAATAAACACTAAAAGCATAACCAGCCCCCATATTATTTACACAAATATCCATTTATAGTATGTATTTTCCCATAATGATAGAAGAGCTAGAAATAAAAAATTATAGGCCTAAATGAAGTAAAAACCATAGTAATTTATGAAATATTGTGAGGGTACCTGATTCTTCGCCTGAATCATGTCTTCCATGTTTATAGGCCTTAAGGTAATTACTGGATGTTCTTTGTCCTCTTTAGCTCTTGAAGTAGCCTTTGAGCTTTGGTCTTCAACCTCTTTCTTATTCTTTTCCTAAATTGATTTAAAATTTATTCTAGTCAGCTAAAAGATATTGATTAAGTTGAGAAAGCACATTGAGATTGTGTTATAGGTCAAGGAAATTACTTGCTCCTGTGCATCATCTATGGGACATAAAGCAACTTCCAAACTTTGGCCTTGAGTGTCTTTCTTATTCTTTTCCTTAAATAAGAAAAACGTTTATGCTAGTTAGCTAAAAGACTTATTAAATTGAGAGGCAACACTAACATGTTGTAATAGGCCAACACTGTCAAGTTTGGTTAGTAATGTTACCATATCCTTCAATCTCTCCTGCTTTATTAGCTCCCTAATAGGCCGATAAGCAGCAACAGTGCACAAATTCTATTTATAAGAAATTTAGTGTCAAGAGATGGTGACTGTAGGTTATAAGTCCAAAAATAGAATCACAATATGAAAGAAAGAACAAGAAAAAAAAACCTGGATATCACTTCCAGTATATCCCTCTGTCATGAGTGCAAGCTCTATAAAGTCTAAATTTTCAGTATTTTCCTTAGCTAGCAGAGTTTTCAAGATAATCTCCCTTGCCTCAACTGACGGAAGACCAACCATGATTCTGCTCAACATTGAAAGTTACAAAAGTATCAAGAAAAAAATCATCACAATGTATTTTTAAAAAATTGAATTATTTAACAATATTACTAAGAGAGAGAAAAAAAACAAAATAAATTTGCCAAGATATTCTTTAATTTAGACAGTTTTTGAATAGTTCCTGCTTACTAATGCAAAATTGAAACTAAGACTTAATTATGTATCCAAGAAATCAATGGGATAAGCACAAATAAAAAATTCATAGAAGTTTTACTAGAAGGTTGCTATAGGAAGTAACAAAAGTAATATATGTCCACTAAGGGAACCACTAGTATGCTGTATGTGAAAATATATAAAAACTTTAACATTTCGGACTTCAAGATCTTGAAATGTTTCTTATTTGATGTTAAAACTAATGATCTAGAAAAAGAAAAACAAAGAAAGAAAGAAAGATGAAATTGAAAAGTTGGGGCATTACAAATAGCATTAGAAAAAGCACATTAGGGATCTTAGCCCTAAAAATTTAGCTCCAAGAAAACTCATCGATTTGTTTTCTTATGACCACCAAACTACTAATAAAGGTCATGTATGAATTTTGGATTTGGTCTTAGGATGAAAAAAATAGAGATAATCATATTTGGATGATGAAGACAACCATGAAAAGATATATACCTTCGTTGAAACCGTCTTATGATTGCATCATCAAGGTCAAATGGCCTGTTAGTTGCAGCAAGAACTAGAATTTGCTCGTCTTGTTTTGTCAATAAACCATCCCAATGTGTCATGAATTCATTCTTAATGCTCCTTGTAGCCTCATGTTCTCCACATCTTGATCGTTGCCCAAGCAAGCTATCAACCTCATCAATGAAAATAATAGTTGGAGAAACCTTTGAAGCTAGTGAGAATAAGGCTCGGACATGCTTCTCAGCTTCTCCATACCACATTGATGTGATGGTAGACATTGATACATTGATGAAACTTGCTCCTGCTTCATTTGCAATTGCCTTTGCAAGCATTGTTTTTCCAGTACCTGGTGGTCCAAACAGTAATATACCTCGGCATGGCTTAAGAAGTCCACCTTTGAAGAGGTCTGGTCTTTTAAGGGGAAGCATGATAAGCTCTTGGAGTGATTCCTTGATTTCATCTAATGCACCAATATCTGAAAATGTAACTCTTATCTCTCTTGCAGGTATAAGCTCTGATCTTATGTTCTTTTCATACTTATTATCTGGAGAAACATCCTACCAACATAAAATTGAAGTTAAGATAATACTCCCTCCAGTCTAAAATATAAGCATTTTCTCCCAATTAATCTTGATCCAAAATGTGTGTTTTATTTCTATGTTATCCCTTGTATTTATTAACGTAGTTTCATCTTTGTAAACTTCTGATCTTCTTCTCACTTATCACAAGTTGAAACTAAAGATAAAAATGAAAAACAATACATAGTTAACATTTTCATGAGACTAATGATTTTTTCAGGATGCAGATTATTGATAAAGGACGCTTATATTTTGACTAGAAAGAGTGTAATATAATGAAATAACATGAGGAAGTCAATATATAAATTGTTGTTAAACACTTTTTTTTGGCTTGTTACATTCTGAACAAGCTAAGTCCCATTGTATTTAGGGAAAATTATCATGCTTAAGGACCAAATGGGTGAAATATTTAGGAGGAAAGACCAAGCATTGAAGGTTGTTGATGGTGCATTTCCGATCTACAATCAATCTTCAAGAATCATTGATGCACATTCTTGAAGATCGCTTAAAGTTTGATTGCAGATTTTTTGTTCTAAAAAAACCTTAGAAACTTAACTTTTACTCATTTGATCATTATTCACAATTTTCCCTCATGTTAATTGATAATGAGAGTGAATGTAAACATACTTCCTTTCCATCAGCCTCTTGCTTTTCAGTATCCTTGACATTATCACTTTCGTGAAATAGATCCAAACCATGACACAAGCTGTGAATTCTCAAGATCATTAATCACTAAAATATTTTTTCTGCAAAGCAATCCTTGAAAATAATTGGACCAAATTCTTACCTTGCCTCTTGCTTTTCAGTATCCTTGACACTATCACTTTTGCGGAATAGATCCAAACCGTGGCACAAACTGTGAATTCTGAAGATCATTAGTCACTAAAATATTTTGTCTGCAAACCAATCCTTGTAAATAATTGGACCAAATTCTTACCTTTCATAAGATATTACAAGCCTTCCATTCACATATTCGAGATCCTTGGTATTCATCAAATAGTGAGATATCGCAGATACAACGATCTCTTCAATATGTCTACTTAGTATCTCAGTTTCCTCGTGGTTGATTGAATTCAAGTCTTTACATTCAACATCAATTTCTGCCAGTACTTTCGCAATGTGATTTTGATTATCTTGAGATTGAATTTTTTTCTCATTCTCCTCTAGTTGGGATTCCCAGTTTTGAAGATTATTCTCATCTTTAGGATGTTTGATCTTAATCTTGTAAGGAAATAATGCAGCAAGCCTTTCATCGTCATCTTTAGCAATGTAATCTTGTGACCACTCATATTCTATTTCATTGTCGACATCAATAACTTGGGAACCAAGTATTAAAATTGGCCCTGAAAGTTTCTTTAGAATTTCATGAAACAAGTTATATAATTGTTTTGATTGAAGCAACATCTCAACATCCCTAACGTATAATATGATGGAACTTTTTTTTGAGATAGAAGCCAAGACCTGCGAGAATTAATGCTATTAATCTTTCTTGTTATATACAATTTAGGGAAAGCCTTGCCAATTATTGTAATTCCCAAATAAAGAACAAACTAGAGTTGGGGAAAGAAGCCATGATGATATCACCTTATGAAGCAACTTCATGAAGAGTTTTTCATCAATGCACATGTTGCTTTTGTTCTCCAAGGGAGCTGAGAATGGAGATTCAAAACAACGAGCAAATCACAAATTTAAATTTTATGCATATTCATATTCAAATACTACATGATTACTAAATGCTCTATCAATCATATATAGGCAAGGAAAAATTAATCTTCATATGCTTTTCTCAATTTTAAATAAGGTCTTTATAATTTATTTTGTTTTAATTGAATTCTTATAATTTAATTCATTAGATTTGTTAATCCCTATGAGTTAAAATCCTAGAATGTTTCCTTTTAAAAAATAAATTAAAAACGTTTTTTAAAGATCACATAACTTTAGAATTAATTAAATAATTTTATATCTCAAAATTTATAAAATATAATTAGGTTTCATTTTCTAAATAAACTTTTACATAAAAATTCTCATAAAAAATTTAATTAAAATGTAAACATTATATTAAATTAATTTTTTGGCCAAAAATATGAAATCAAAATTTTTATAAAGTTTAAATTATTTTTTATTTCGGGAAATTTAACAATTTATTCATAATTTTAACATTGACTAACGTATCTAATGATTCAAATTATAAAGATTTGAATAAAACAAAAATAAAATACATGAACTAAATTTAAAAATGAAAAAAAAATTATAAAACCTCAAAATTAATTATATTTAAATAAGTCTCATTAAAAATGTTGAATTTACATTCACTATAATTAAATTCCATGTAAAATGGAATCCAATTACCTTCATTTTCGCTAGTTGAAAGGGAACCAAACAAACTGTGCAATCTCTTGGAAGCCACCTTAGATAAGGACCTTTTAAAAGACTATAAATAAAGCAAATAAGTCAAGGAAAATCATCATACAAACAGAGTTAAATGTTTGTGATTTTGTCGATCCATATTTAAAAGAATATAGTGGAATTAAATTCTGATCATATATAAAAATGGCAAGAAATAACAAACAGATACATAGCAAATGCGAGCAGAAAAACTTACTGGTTCTTTTCTTTTTCCTGCACATCCATATTTTCTCTTTATCTATAAATATAGTGAATTATAGGTCAGGTACAAATATTTTCTCATTCAACTTAAACAAATGAAATTAAAATGTGAAAGTAATTAATCACCTTTAAGGTGAAGTCAACAATATCTAGCAGCAGCAACTTTGATTGGAAGTGATGGGCTAAAGCCTTGGCAATTGTTTGCATGTAAAGTTCTTCAAAATTTGTGAGGAAAGTTAATTTGGGTTTAACATACATGAAAACCCAAACAATCATATATTTATGAGTTAAAGTGCAAAAGTATCCACTAAATTTTTTTCCAGGAACTTTGAGTATCATTAAATCAATAACGGTACTTGAGTACCCATAAACTTTATAAAAAGGGCCTTCCTTCTCTAATTTGTTGATTTAAGGATAGAACAGGTTCTTGGAGAAAATATTTTTGGATATTTTTACTTCTTAACCCTTATATCATTAACTTTGTTTGAAAATGAAAATTTTTCCCACTTTCCCCTTTTTAAAACCATGCATTGTTATCATAAATCAGTGACGTAGAGGAATAATTGCATGGGAAACGGAGTATGAAGAAAAGACAATTGAGGAACACTTCAGTGTAGGAGCCAAAGGCAATAAATAACATACCTATTGACTTATAACAAGGACTATATATATATATATTATTTCTAGAAGGTGCCTTATGATAAGAATCAGATAAAATACCTTCAGGTCCAGAAAGTATAATTGCCCTACTTGCCGGTAGAAGGCTCTGGATGTGTCTAGAGAAGTGAAGTTGTTTTAGATGAACAAATGCAGCATTCATCAATAACTCCCGAGTTGTTTCACTATCAAAGCAGTGGAATAAGAATTATGCTATCAAGTTGCTCTTTTTTTGGCTCATGTTATAAGTGTGATGACGTATAATAACTCCTATTTCCATATGATTTGAAAGCAAAGCAAGAATCTGGTCATTAATCTAGTCAATTGTATCAAATTCTTCCAAAGGAGAAAACAACACCATATCCATGTTAATATAGGTATAAATAGAATTAACAACTATAATATGTTTAACTAAACATAATAATTCTAGATATGAAGAGAACTATAGGATTCAAGTGCAAAAATACCTTGAAACTTTTTTTCTAAGAAGCTTCTAGTATCCTTAAATAAATAACTATGCATGGCATTACCTATTAATTTTGCAAAAGAAGCCAACCTTCCCAAATTCATTAAAATAGCCTAACATTGATGTTAAGTCTTAAGGACATAACTTAAATAAATTGAAAAAAGTTAGTTTCTTTTATAAAGTTAATGAGTACCTATGTACTATTGTTGACTTAAGAATATTAGAAGTTTTTTGAGAAAAAATTTCCGGGCAGTTTTGTACATTACCTAAAACCATATTATATATTTGAAAATAGCAAATGCCATTGCTTTCAAAAAATCTCCATGGCGCATGGATTTTTTATCATAACATTACTTCATATATATCATGAATTGAAAAGTGACAAATTAATTAAAGTTAATATCACCTTAAGTAATAAGGAAAGTCTTGAAAAGTTTCCTGGCATTCCTTGCCATCAATCACGTTTCTGAGAAGCTCTTGCTCAACCTGCTCGTTCCAAAGCTCTTCACTTGAGTTAAGATTCCATCCAAGCCTTGAACTTAATCCAAGCCTTGCTCCTACACCAACCCCTATGCTCAATGCTGACAGCAAAACTTGGCTGTGCTCCATATTTTCCCTGCTCCTTTTAAAACTGTTTTTGGAGAAGAAAAACAAACTTGGCTATAAATGAATTTGTGTTTCCATATATATATATATATATATAAAGACAGATACACACCTTTGTGTTGGTGGTGTGAAATGAATTTCACAAAAGAAGAAGCTTTTCTGAAGAAGCTTTTCTTTTGTTTTCTTCTTGTGCAAGTTTCACTATAATTTCTACATGTGTCGGAGAAATTAATGGAGAATCCCTGCAAGTTTCACTACAATTCCTACATGTGTCGGAGACATTAATGGAGAATCCCTAGGGAGTGAGAGAGAAAGATGGAGAATCATTCCATCTTCACCACTACACTTGAATACCCATGATCGTTGATTTATTTATTTTATTAATTTATCACTCGATATCCTAGCATCTTGCGCATTATCACTTGTCACCTAGGCTAATATCAACTGACTATGTGAGGTTATTATTAACATCTATGGACCCCCGGGTATTTTAAGAATACATTTAATATATTTATTTAACTCGGCTGTAAACCTCAAGCTTCGAATTTAAAGTTATAGGATAAGCTAAATTCTCTTCACCAGTTGAACAAAATACTACTCAGTTTTATTTATTTATTTATTTATTTATCACTTAACATGAATTAAAAAGGAAAAAAAATTCATGTACACTACAAAGGAATTAAAGGTGATGTTTCGGGAAATTCAGAAATAACCTTATTTATACTCCATTCATTTAAAATATAAGATATTTTTTAAGGAATTAGATATTAAAAAATATAAGGCATTTTCAGTCTTTTAAGGTGTAATTATTTTTTTTTAAAAATACTCATATTAATAAATGACTTTATATTTATTGTAGGATATTTAATAAAAATAAATATAAAAAAAATAAGATTAATTAAAAATAAATAATTATTTTATTAAATATAAAATTTAATTAAAAATATTTTACATCTTGGCAAGTATTTAACAAGAAATCTTATAAAATTCGTTAATACCTTTATATTTGAATCTGAAAACGCAACTTTATAGAAGGTGACAAACAATGCACTGTTTTTAGTCAAGAAAGTCCATTTGTCTATCCTATGCCACTTGCATTGATAGCGACCAGACTTCTTAATCTGCTGAGATGGATTATTCTTTTTAAAAAAAATTATAGAAAATTAAACTTTTTTTTTTAGTGGGGCACTCGAAAGAAGTAGAAAATAAAAATCAAAGAAACAGACTTAGAGCAGCAGCATCAACCATACCATCTTGACATCCCCCACAATCTCATGCCAGATGTACATACCTTTAGTGATTTAGTCCCAGTATAGTTTCGTAATACATTAAACAATCAATTTTGCTAAGAATGTGTATTTAATTATTTGACTTTGTATATTTATATTGAAAGTGTAATGTCCTCTATTTTTTTCCCATAATATTCATGTATCTCAAGTGAAAATATATTTTTTATTTGGATTTTAATATTAAAAAAATAAAAATTTAGAAAATAACTTCAACATTTATTTTTTAATCTCTGAAGTTTAATAAGTCTCATTTTTGTTAAGGTTTTATATTTTTAAATGATAATAATAATAAGAATCAAGAATTGCAAAAATAAAATGTTTTTAAGGAACATAAAAATAAGATACTAGTATTTCCGTTATTTGATATCACCACTATTATTTTGGAGAATTATGGTTTGATGTCTTCAATGTTAAATTTAAAAAAAAAAACTTTGAGAATCATAAAAGTAAGTTAATTCCTATATATTTATAATCAAAATTTAACTTGATTTTGAATATTATAAAGATATTTTGTAAAAAGTTTTACCAAAACTTAATTTGGAATCGGGGCAGATTACTTATAACACAAAAGGGGTACAAGAACAAATAAACCACTTGTAATTGTTGTCGACAGGCAAAAAGGAAGTGTGTATATATATATATATATATATACATACACAACACAAAGATATATATATATATATATATAGAGAGAGAGAGAGAGAGAGAGAGAGAGCAAAGAGAATAAACCATTTAAAGGAAAAATGAGGCTGGCACTATATACGGTGAAAGCTAGAAGATGGAGCCAAAGGGTCAAATCCTTCTTTTCATATTCACCGCTCCTTTAATTTCTTAATTTCTTTCTTTGATCCCTCCTTTAATAAAAATTTAAAAAAGTTCCAATTTATTATCATAGCATTGAGTGGAGAATAACTATGTATATACATTAATTGCCACTTAGACGGACACCAAGAGCATTTGATATACCTTAATTCTGATGAATAATTTGGATATTGAAATTAATTTTTTTATATCTTTTTGAATTAAGATGTAATTTTGCCCTTTAACTATTATCGAAATAGTAATGTTACCCCTAAACTATTTATCGTAGCAATGTTATCCCTAACTTAATTAAATCAAAGTAATGTTGCCCTTACCGTTAAAACGTCCATCACTGTAGTTAGTAGGACCCACTTTTATGAGTTAAGGTGTAATTTTGCCTTTAAACTATTCTCAAAGGAGTAATGTTGCCCTCACCTTTTAAAAATCATAGAATTAAATAAAAAATTATAATATTAAATCTATATATAAAATAAATATAAGAAAAAATTTTATCATATATTAATAAAATATTATAAATTATAATTTTATAACTTGTTAAATATAAATAGATTCTGGTTAAATTAAATATGAGTAAACTCAAAAGTATCTTCATTTGTATCTATAACTATCGACTAAAGCCATCATTACCTACTTCATTTGGACTAAAAAAATATGTTCATGATTAAGCTGGATTGGACAAGAGTTAAGCAGCTATTAAGTCAAAAACCGAAGTTGAGTTGGAAATCGGAGTGATTTTCAGAAAATTGGATCATTTTAAATATAATATTTCAAAAAAACTTGAAAAATTTTTAAAATAGAAAAATTCAAAAATTAGAAGCTACTAAAAGCCAACTTTATTTTTGAACAATTAACATGTATAAAATATAATTTGAGACCCTTTTTTTATAAATATGTTGATAATTATAAGTGTAAATGCAGATACTTTTGAGTCTACTCATATCTAACTTAATTAAGATTCTATTATATTTGATAAGTTATAAAATTACAATTTATATTTTTCCTTATATTTATTTTACACATACATTTAATATTATTATAAGTTTATTTTTATATTCACATTTAATATTATTTTATTTAATATTATTATAATTTTATTTTTATTTAATTTTAATATTTTTAAATGGTGATGGCAACATTGCTCCTTTGAGAATATTTTAGGGGCAAAATTACACCTTGACTCATAAAAAATGAGTCCTACAAATTATAGTAACGGACGTTTTAATGATAGCGGCAACATTATTTCGATTTGATTAGTTTAAGGGCAACATTGCTACGACTAATAGTTTAGAGGCAACATTGCTATGACTAATAGTTTAAAGGTAATATTGCTCTTTTGAGAATAGTTTAGGGATAAAAGTGTACCTTAGCCTTATCTTTTTTTCAGTATTTTATCTTTCTTATTTGGAATTTTTAGTATATAATTAATAATAAATTAATTTGACCATAACTGAATGGATCACAAATGAATCATTGAGCTTGAATTAGTGCCTTCACCTAATGATTGTTCTAGTTTTTAATATCTTGCTTTGACTCCAAATGAGCATAAAGAATCTCAAAAATTAAAAAAAACAAAAGAAAAATAAATGTGCCTTACCTAAATATATACTGATGATCCATAATTTTTTTTTGTTCCTGAAGTTATTGCTTTCACATATGTACACATGATCCTAACTATAGGAGATAATTAATTAATTTTCATAGATTAAAAAATTAGATAAGTTAATAATTTGTAAAAAAAAATGTTGATGATTTTCCTAAAATACCGCTCTAGGGATATGTAGTTTGAAAGAAAAATAATAAATGAGGGGGTTGAAGGAGAATGAGGTTTTTATTTAGGACCAAAACCAACCGTTCAACTTGCTCCTTCATTTAGAATCAGAGGGAGTATCAAAGTCAGATTAATTTCACATTTTCTTACAATAAATATCAAATATTTAATTATTTTAGCATCTTTAATCTGCAATTTTATAATTTCTAAAATAAAATTCACTAGGGATAATCTCATAAATTCAAATGTGGTTTCTGAAACTACTCATTAACGAGTCCAAAATAGGTTCATTGCAATTTCAGCTTCATAACATGAAATTTTTCCATTCAAAGGATCCATTTTAAGGAGTATGTGCTCAACAAAAGTGACCTATATGGATATGTTATTGATGCCTTGAAAAGAAAAATATCATTCAAGGAAAAGAAAGCAATAAATATCATGAAAAAAGTACATAAACTTGGCATCTTTTGTGGTGAGATAATTAGAAGATAAAAGAAAGTCGTACATCTAAATATTAAAAAATAAATCATAAATACATAAATTTAGAAAGTATCTAATTAAATTACTTAAACTATTTTGGTGAGCGAATAATCATTCCCTCTCTATAAGTATATAATTAAAAGTTACTATAAAATTAAAAATTAAAAATGCATTAATTTGACCACAACTGAATGGATCATGGATGAATTATTGAGCTTTGAATTAGTACCTCAACCTAATGATTGTTCAAGTTTTTAATATCTTGCTTTGACCCCAAAAAAGCATTATACATCTCACAAAAACAAGTGTGCCTCATCATCACGTCCTTAAGTCCTCAATTTTTTTTCTCAAATTATTGCTTTCACATATATACTCCTAATCCTCAATATAGGAGTTAATTAACTAATTTACTAATTTACATATATTAAGAAAGTAAGATATGGTAATTATTTGTAAAAAGTGTAGATGATTTTCTTAAAATATCCTTGTAGTGATATGATTATCATTCAATTTTTAGAGAACAATGATCTAATTATAAGGATGGTTTGGGAGAAAAAAATAAAAAATGAGGACGACAAAGGATATTGAAGTTTTAATTTGAGACTAAAACAAATCACTCAATTTCCTTGTACATTTAGAACCAGAGGGAGTATCAACGTCAGATTTCACGTTCACTTACAATAAATGTCAAACATTTAA